GCACATATTTTCTTTTCCAGATGGTGTGACCAGTGTAGTTGGGGGGTGAGCGTGACTCCAAGGTATTTGTATTCGTTCACCACCTCAATTCTTTCCCCCTTAAAAAGCCAGCGGTCTGTCGCCTTTATTCTCCCCCCTCTTCTGAAAATCATGATTTTGGACTTTTTGAGATTAACTGTCAGGTTCCACTGGGTGCAATATGATTCGAATATTTTAATATTATTTTGTAGCCAATTTTTTTGCTAACGTTGCCTATTCGGACTCCACATTCGAGAGTCGAGGGGAGATCATCAAGAAAGAGAGCGAACAGAACTGGACTGAGTAGACAACCCTGCCTAACACCACATTTAACCTAAAAAAAATTGGATAAACCTTCACGCCCTCGGACCTCTGATGCTGTTTGTGTGAAAAGGGATTTTAGGATATTCGAAATTTTGGAAGAGAAGCCATAGTTTTTTTTTTTCTCACACAACTTTGCGGATTATCAGTCAACGAGAAAGAAATCGCCGACGATTACCCACTTCTGACCCCCATCCCCAAGGGGGAAAAAGGAATTAAATTGTACCGTTAATTAATGAATGTTACAAACAGATAAAACGTATAACGAGACGTCAAATGATCGGGCAGTTGGTTCTGAATGGTTCTGAGGACAGAAGGGATGGTAAACTAACCAAAAACCATCCTTAAACACAACTGTCACTGTTTAGGGACTCTCTCTCTCTCTTTTTCTCCCTCTCTCTCTCTCTCTCTCTCTCTCTTTATCTATGTACAATCTCTCTCTCTCTTTTTCTATGTACAATCTCTCTCTTTTTCTATATACAATCTCTCTCTCTTTTTTTCTATGTACAATCTCTGTCTCTCTCTCTCTCTCTCTCTCTCTCTTTTTCTATGTAAAATCTCTCTCTCTTTTTTGCTATGTACAATCTCTCTCTCTTTTTCTATGTAGAATCTCTCTCTCTTTTTCTATGTACAATCTCTCTCTCTCTTTTTCTGTGTACAATCTCTCTCTCTCTCTCTCTCTCTCTCTCTCTCTTTTTCTATATACAATCTCTCTCTTTTTTTCTATATACAATCTCTCTCTCTTTTTCTATGTACAATCTCTCTCTCTCTTTTTCTATGTACAATCTCTCTCTCTTTTTCTATGTACAATCTCTCTCTCTCTTTTTTTCTATGTACAATCTCTCTCTCTTTTTCTATGTACAATCTCTCTCTCTTTTTCTATGTACAATCTCTCTCTCTTTTTGTATATACAATCTCTCTCTCTCTCTCTTTCTACGTACAATCTCTCTCTCTCTTTTTCTATGTACAATCTCTCTCTCTCTCTCTCTCTCTTTATGTACAATCTCTCTCTCTCCTCTCTCTATCTCTATCTATCTATCTAACTCAATTTCTGGTTTTGATTTAGCATTTTATTTTTACTCGCAAAATTAGGTCTCAAGGAACTTTCTTATATTTAACGAGGTACATTGTAATTATATCACGTTATGGTGCACATCGTCTTCACATATAATTCGCCTAAAATCAAAAGTGAGAGAGAGTGAGAGAGTGAGAGAGTATTGAAAATCTACGAATCTACCTAAAGATTCTAAGGATTAATACTCGATGTTAATTCTTTTCCCGCCATATTCTGTAATTATACTTTTTTTAATACGCTTGAATACTTTTTTCTTTGGGTGTCCTAATTCCAACTGCTAACGACATGCTGCTAGTGCTTAACTAGCAGAATTGTAACAAAAAAAACAAATCCAGGAGTAGAAATAAAACCTGCACAGACGTCGATTTTCTTAAATAGACCACGTTGCGCGTAACACAAGGTAACATCACTTAAAAAGCGATTTTTGTAAAATTGATGAATGCCTGTTCTTCAAAAACTAGTTATAATTTATTTGAACCTTGCCTTGATCCATTTTTCATGATAAATGACATGTTGAAAAGTCCATTGCTAAGGTTTTGAGAAGGTGACAATTTTGAATATTTTATTAACGTTTTAATTACACGTTTTTAGTAATTAAAACAAATTTATTTCTCTTAAGTGAAATTAAAACTTTATATATATTATTATAATTAAGATCCTTGATTAATAAGATGAGCACGCTTTAATATTTATATCTCTTGGTTTATTTAATTAGAAACTTATTTTTTTATAGATAAATGAACTTTTCTTTTTGTTTGTGATTGTTAGGTTGTTTTATTTTTCTCCTCTATGGTCTTGTTCCTGTCCATTGAACAGTCGTATTAGCAATTCTACAAATGCCCGTTCCGTTTCTCCATAGATCACAGGGTTTAATAAGATAAGATTTGTGAAGGTTGACGGTCGGGTTGACGAACTTATTAAATTTAAACGGTCCGCCTGCTCTCGCTGTTGCACCATCCGTTGTTTCCGTTCTCAAAGCGGCCCGTTGATCAAAAAATACTTTCTACGCCCAACTTTGATGAAAGCCGTCAAGTTAATAATCTTGTCTTTTCATTTTCTTACCATCGTCACGGTACGGAAAGGGAAAGTTATTTATTTATAAACACGCTGGAAATGGGATTTATGGTTTTGTTCTGACTATAAGGCCGGATTAATATCGTGTAAAAATTTCTTTTCGTAATTTAGTTTAGTGTAAAAATTTCTCTTTTCTTTTTCCCTTCGTTTTCGATCAAAGGATCGATTTTCAAAAGGTGTTTTCTTTTTTTTTCTTCTTTAAAATCGGCTTATTCAGTACCAGGCCAAAAGCTTTCTATTGAAAAAAAAAAAAAAGTAAAACAAACTACTTCCGGAAAGATAATTCGTTACGCGCCCGCACACGATCCTTTCTTCCACGCTAGTAAATGTAAATCGGCTTACCTTGGGCCCGAAATTCCCCAGCCTCGAGATCCTGTCCATCCTTGGCAAGGACATGGGGTTTCTGCAAGAAAAAGCAAGAAGTTAAACCGGCACCGTCTTTTATCCTGGTGTTCGTTGCTCACGTTAAAAAAAAAAAAAAAAATAACAACCTCATGAGGAAAAGTCAGTTCTTTAATTTTTTCTGTACTTGAGGTTTTTTCATTACAGATTTTTTTAAGTATTAAATTGATTTTGTAATTATATGGAAATATTGATAAGCTTGAAAGGTTACATTGCATTTTAAGGATAAAATTATTTCTTATAAAAATTATATTCAGTAAACCTAGACGCGGCCGTGTATATTTTCTACTTTTTCTTCTATCCATCCATTTATTTATATAATCTTAGTATTTAACCATCCACCACCCCATATATTTATATATTTAACTATCCATCTGTTTCTGCATTTATTATTCTATTTAAGTATAGCACTTATACCACCCATATACATTTACAGATCTGTATAACAACTCATCTAACCATCCTCTCTCCATATATTTACTTATTTATGGTCCCATCCATCTGATAATCCATATCTATATATATTTATGTATCTAACTATCCATCTGTTTTTACATTTATCTATCTATTTATGCACCTATCCATATATGCATCTATATAATAACTAATCTGACAATCAACCTAACTATTTATATACTTAACTATCCATCTGTTTCTATATTTATATATCTATTTATGTACCTACAGCACATATATGCATTTATAGATCTATATAACAAATCATCTAACCATACTTTCTCCATATATTTACTTATTTATGTTGCCATCTATCTAATAATCCATATCTACATACATTTATGTATCTAACTATCCATCTTTTTTTACATTTATCCATCTATTTATGTACCTATCCATATATGCATCTATATATCTATATAATAACCCATCTAACTATCCATCTCTCTATATATTTACCTACCATTTAATCATCCATACCACTATCCATATTTCTGTATGTTTATGTATCTAACTATCCGTCCCGTTTTATATTTATATATCTATCTATACATATATCCATCTATTTATCTATTTAATCATTCATCTAACTATCCATAAATCTGTACGTTTATATATCTAACTATCCAACTCGTTTTATATTTATATATCTATCTACACATAAATTCATCTATTTATCTATTTAATCATTCATCTAACTATCCATAAATCTGCATATTTATGTATCTTACTATCCATCTCGTTTTATATTTATATATCTATCTATACATATATTCTTTTTTTTTTTTTTTTTTATTGGCCTTATAATCTTGCATATTAGCCATAGTACGAATTCTTGTGTGTTCAAATTGGGGGTTATCGGGAAAAAACGGCTAGAGGCGACGGTGGGAATCGAACCCACGACCGCGGCGTGAGAGTCTCTCATGCTAACCACTCGGCTACCGCGGTCCCCCTATATTCATCTATTTATCCATTTAATCATTTATCTAGCTATCCATAACTCTATATATTTATGTCTTACTATCGATCAGTTTTATATTTATATATACCTATTCATCTCTCTATACATTGATATATCTAAAAATTCATATATTCATCTAGCGACATATCTAACGATATATTTAGATGGAATGCCATCCATATATCCATCTATTTATCTATCTACATAGTCATCCATCTATTTGCATAACCATCATCACATATGTATAATCATTCATCTAACTATCCGTTTCTTTATACATTTCTATATCTACTCATTCATATATCTATTTATCTAACTATATAGTGATCCCTCTATCTAATCATATATTTATCTATCTAAATATATACATACATATTTAGATGTCTATCTAGCAATTCACTATGTGAAATTTGGCCGTTATAGATCATTTTCGTCTGCCTTTCCTCATTGGTTTGATGTTGGCAAATTTAAGGTTCGTCACCGTGCAGACAACACGGAGAAATCTCATCATTTATTTATTCATTACTTTATCACTCGATTTATCCACTTATTCATCTATCTCTGGACCCAACTATATTTCTATTTATGTGTTCTACAAGCTCAAGACACCAGTTTTAATATTTGAAAAACATTTTGGCATAAGATTTTGTTGTTCTATTATATTTTATTGCAACGTATTTCCTCACTTTTCAGCGTAACCGGTATGAGCGGTGAAGTCAGAATGGACGGGCAGATCATCAGGCCGGGAAAAGACGGCTCGAGAAAGCAATCCTGCTACATTATGCAGGAGGACCATCTGAACCCAATGTTTAACGTTATGGAAATAATGATAATGGCTGCCAATCTCAAATTGGGCAACGGACTGCCAAAAAAGGCAAAAATATTAGTCGTAAGTACATTTTACGTTTACTTTACAACACGAGAAGAAAAAAACGAAAAATTACATCTTTAACATTAAAAATTAATACAGACAATACTATAACTATCACATACATTAATCCTACTACCTATCATTTGCTAGTGTATATAGTGTATGTATATCACATCTACTGTAGATACTCTAACTCACATGTATCTGTATACTGTACTAGTTGTTTTATTCTGTCTATAAACGTTCTTTCCCATAAGGACAATTTTATTCAAAGATAAAATTATATATAAAATTCCACGTTGCTTTTGTCTTCCAGGCATTTGAATTTTGACGATACCACTTCGGTTTCAAGGATAAAAACTCCTAATTTAACTTCCTTGTAGTTGGAGTCCTTTTTACAAAAGAGTTTTCTTGTTGCATTGATCTTTTTGTTTCTTGACACTCCATATAAAGCTCAGAATCGATGGCCATCCCATTTGCCACAAGGTCGAAATGCAACACACCTACAGTCAATTTGGTGGCAAACCTCTTATTGAGTCACTTTGAACACTATGTTTTATAAACATTAAACAAAAAATCAAATAGTGATTATTTGAATAAGGATTTAACGGTGTTTATATTCATAAGGACTTAAGTAATGTGGCATTATGCAACCAACTAAGTATACTGTTTTCGTCTGTTTTGATTTATCTTTCTGATCAATATGCCATCAACCTTGAATTTAAACTGGCCACACTCTCGGTTACATCAAACGCAAACAATTGGCTGATATTTTAGGCTTCTGGGTATGGCCATTAATAGATTTTTTCAAAACTATGCATTGTTCATTGTTTGTTTTCCCCAATCGGTTAATCTTTTGGATTTTGTAGAAAAGCTAAGCAGATTGTAAGCGGCTTTTTATAATATTTAAAACCAAATCTGCTAAAAAGTGATAGACAACACCTCCTGACCAGTAGCAGAAATTCTTGGGAACAATTCCTCGAATATCTAGCCTTCCTACGAGCTTCTAAATTATAGCTCAATATTTGGATTACTCTGGCCAGCTTGGGGTGCGGGGACAACGGGAACTCTTGGAGACTCTACCTAGGTGACCTACACTGGCCCGTCTTAATATGGGAACAAACAGAACGTCAAACAACCAAGGCAAGTCAGCTACAACTATAACTCTGGGGGTGACCTTATTGACAAGAGGACTTACCTGAAAAGATGCTCGCTAACATCAGCTGGCGGGTTTTCGAGCATCTTCTTTCCGCAGCTTCCTGGATCGACTCTATTCGACTTAACAATGGCTAGATCCTTGCTGGTCCTGCTGCTGAGTGCTACTCCTTCGGCGAGTAGCAGGGAGCCTGAACGGAAACTGCGAAAGCCTGAGGAACTGGTCGCCCACCACGAGCGCACTGATTGTGAAGAGTGGATACTTGCGATTGAGGATCCCAATCCGACCTACGTGAATTATTTCCTGCAGACTCGGATTCACCCCCTGAGGCGACTGGCTGGGATAGGGCCGACTTGTTCGACTCTTGAAAGGCCATCTCGTCTCACCCACCCTAGGAGTCGTGGCCCACTATGTGTGGAACTACGGCGACGATGGGTGGTATAGTGTGGTTTGAGACTCGAGATCCCGAAACGGCTCACCTCGTGTTCTCATCCACGACCTTTATTCTCAATCCGAGTTCCTTCATTCTATCCTGTGACCCCTCCTAACCCTTGGTTGCAAGGGGGGGTGTCCGGGCACAAAATAAAGGTGCAGCCCAGAGGGCGTGACAACCTCTCTGAAGCACAAGCTGTACTCGTGTCGGCCTAGAGTCGGCATGGGCGGCGGGTGCCTTAGCAGAGTCACACGAGGGCCAGTGCACTAGATCCTGTCTGCATAGACGGGGGAGGGTGTATGGCCGCCTGTACCACGGGGTAACTAAACTTTCCAAATTCAGCCCTAGTTACACTGGGAATGGATTCGTGGTGGCGCGTGGTGACGCCTCTGGCGGGAACTTAATCATTTCTATATGTGACCTTCGTGAAGCTTGCGTAGGGCCAGCGTAATTACCCCCGGCCTCACGGGAGACGTTGCGACCGGACGACAGCGTGTAAGCGTTGAGGATGCGATGATCATGCTATATCCCCTCGAACGGAGTAAGCGAACGGAAACGGGTAGTGATCGTTGTCTCTGACTCGAGTATGCTTTGCATTGTTGTGCGTATGACCGGCGTGGTACCGTTGGGGAAGCGAAGGATCGGATCACCTAGGCTGAGCCTATGGCGTCCCTCGAATGCGCATGGCAGGTGTAGGCTGAGCTCGATAAGAGACTTTACCGTAGGCGGTGCTCATCTAGGGTGTGGTTAGCAATTCCACTTTAAACTAAACCGCTGCCGGGGCGTTCCCGGAAGTTTCTACGCTAGGGGAGCCCTTATACTCAGGGAGATGGAGTGGCCTTCTTTATCTAGGGAGTACGCGGGAGAACAGGCTGATGTATTTCGGCCTGTTAGCCCTTTGCGTGCGGCATACGACCCTTGAACAATGCGGGCCCAACCTTTCGGAGTGGACAAGCGGAGAGCGAGGTTGTCTCGGCCCTTAGGAGCTGGGGCGCCTCTACACCAATGCTGCGGCGGTAACACCATTCCGTCGTATGCGGAGGTGCGTCAGCTCTCATCGTGAGAATCAAAACGTCCGATAAGCCCGAATAGGCCAGGTGCGGACGCTAAAGATCCTCTTGTTTTGTTGATGATGAGTTCTTGGGAACGGAATCCTGAGTGCGGCTGCTTCTCTTGACTGAGTCCTCGGGTTGTTGATGGGATAAGTGTTCGAGTTGACTGCGGCTGGTGTTGAAGGAGTCCCATAATGTGGCTGACTGATTGTTCAGGATATTCTCCTTTCCCTCAATGCTTTAAAATCAAGAAATGTGAGTTGGTTATCTGGGCACACTGCGGAATTTTGGGGAATGAGAATGCAGACATTACCGCGAAACGTGGCATCGATGAAGACGTCATTTACAGTTCACCCCAAATACTGGCATAATTTAAAAACAAAGGACGTGGCAGCAATGGCAGAAAGGATAGGGCCGAGATAAATAACTAAGGGGAATAAAAACGAATGTTGCACACTGTAACTCTTCTCGGGCGACAAAACGGAAAGAAGCAGTCTTGATCCGTCTGACAATATGGGGATGAAATTATACACTAGAGGACTTACCTGAAACAATGCTCACTAACATCGGCTGGCGCGTTTTCCAGGATCTTCTTTCTGCAGCTTCCTGGATCGATTCGATCCGACTTGTCACAATGGCTATATCCTTGCTGGTCCTGCTACTGAGTATGGATGCTTGACAGCTCTGGACTGAGACCTCGGGTTGATTGAGATGAGGCATAGAGTTGTCTATGCTGATGTTGTGTAGGCCATCGATATCTGATGGCAAGAGAATCAACTCGTCTTTGTGAAACCTGTAAGGTATTGGTCAGAGTAATCAATCAAACAGTGTGCTAAGTAAGACCAAGTTAGAAGACAACACCGCCTAGCCAGTCAATTTTCGAAGTATCTTGAGGACAATTCCTCGAATATAAACAATATGTTTGTCTTTCTACAAATCCTTAAATTGTTGCTCAAAATCTAGATTACAGAAGCCAGCTGGGCTTGATTGAGCTTTTTGGGATGCGGGAGCAGCGAGGCCATCTGAGAAATCACAGTAGAGATTATCTGATGGCAAGAGAATCAACTGGACGTTGGTAGTGGCATCCACATTACTCAGATGACCTGCGCAATACCAAATAAGTACAAAATACAGATGCTTTCATTTTTGGACTAAAGAGGAGTGCTGCCGGGGGTGTGTTCTACCGTCGGTGTGTAGTTACCGGAGCTGCTCAGCCAACCTGTCATAAACCCATGGAGGTTGATCGCCACTAAAAATACAAAATCCAAAGCCATGGCCGATGAATCACGCGTAACAACATAACAAATCCGGATTACACGAAAGAAATCCAGTCGGAGTTAAGCTCAATAAAGGATTAGTGAAAGATTAAAGATATAAATTGAATAAACAAGACTGTCAAAAACAAATATATTAGACTAAGTATATAATGATTTCATTCCGGAATTTTTTAACAACCTGCATACTTTATCTGCCCCATATTTTTTTTAAATAAATTATATAATGAAGAAGTAACTCATGTTAGAAATTTCTGTTGCCTAAATTGTTTATTTTTTAAGATTTCTTTTAATCAGATAGAGTTAATTTATTTTTTTATTATTTCCCAGAGATCTTATCATTCAAGGATGCGAATTTAAAGTAGGTTGTTGAAACGGAAGCTTCGCGGTGAATGACGAACTGAAAAAAAAAACCTCTTTCCTCCTTCCACGAGAAATGCCGTGATGCAATTTTCTAGCTTGCCAACTACACTTTTCTTAACTTTCTGGCCAATTATTCCGAATAATGACGACCTTGCAATATAAAGAGCGAAGGCACAGTGACCTCGTGTCCGTGGGATCTCGCTTTCACCCGGCCACAAACCATAATCATTAAGCTATTTTCTTCCTCCGTTATGCAAGCTTTTTATTACATCAAAATCCGTTATGGAAGTAATCCATTTCGGCCGTTTAATTGCAATCGAAATAAACACGGTTAAGCGCGATTAGATATCAAATCAGTACCATCGCAATAAAATTAACGGTTAATATAGATTAAACTAAATTTTTCATTGATAACGTAATTGTCCGGAAACTGATTAAAAATCGGTGGGATAATGGTGAGAGTGTTGCAAAATATCCTTTCCTTCAATTATTACATATCTTTAAGAGGTTGATTACTTTTTCTTTTGCACAATCATTCCTTTTATAATCTTTTTTCTCCTGTCGAAATGATTTCAAAATACTTAACACCTGATTTCTAAGTTGATAATTGCACTTGTTACAGGTTGTTCAAATTATTCAAAGACCTTGTTGGTTTATGTTTTGACAACTTATAGTAATACATCTGACATATTTGCATAAAAGCACCCTAAGTATCAAGCCTGACCAGGCATATTTTAAGG